GTAAAAATTTGGACCTAACAGCAAAGAATATAAATGCGGTCATCTCCTGCAAGACAAAATTAACTGCTTTATAATTTTTAAAAGTTATGTGACCTGGAAATAGATGTAAAATTTCCCGTAAAAATCATAAATTTCATAAAATATTGTAACACTGGGAAATAAAAGTGATTAATAAGTATAACTTTTATATAAAATTTCGACCGTAATGCATGAAGATATAAGGGCGTTTATCCCATGCACAATAGATATATCCACGTATGTGTAATTTTCGGCCTTATGGTACATGGATATAAAAGCTTTTCTGCCATGCTCAGCTGAACTCCTTGCCTCGCCTTACCACGCAGGTGTCATGCAAACTACCCATCTGTCATGTTCTTAACGCCTACGTCATCAAAATTGCAGCTGTGTTAAGTGGTTGCTGGTGCGATATCAGTTGACCAGGCAGACTCCTGTGATGGTCTCAAGACACCCGCCGAACTGTGTACACTAACTGGAGACCTTTTAAGATAACAAGACCGATAAGAAGAACACCCTCAATTACTGAACAGATAACAGAGAACACTCTGTACTTGGAGAACACGAATATAAATTCAAAGATTCTATTTAGAGACTAAAGTACAGGTGAACGTGGAAGTGTACGTGTAAAGTGCAGTTATTCCCACACATACAGGAACAGACACAAGTACACACACACACACACACACAGGTACACGCAGATGTACAGCAAAGTTTATAATGGTGAAAGTGAAAGTAGGTCCCACAGTCCGGCTGTGTGGGCGGCACCGCCTGTAGTTTGAACCAACGGACCCGTAGGACAGGAAGCGAGCACTGTATCCATTCGACCACCGCACCCCAAATGATAGCTCTTTGAATTGAATTGAATTGAATTGAAACAGTTTATTTAGCCAAGAAAACACAGATACAGAGTGGATAATAATAACAATATTAACATGGCTGAGCCAGTTGAGAACCTGAGCTCTCTTTGAGGCACCTGATATATACTATACATTTATCTCAAGGAAGTATTATGATAACATTTAGTATCATCTGGAATAGTACAATAGTATGGTGGTAATAAGAACATGTTACCACGGTTATCACTTCAATATTGATTTATTTTATTTATTATATATATTTTTTAATTTATATTATAAATATACAGTATACATAAATTACAGTGGAATTGATAAACATAAGTATAATGGGGGAGCAGTACAACATGGGTTGTGCAGTATTAAGGTTGAACAAGAGGACGGAGCTGTCAGGATTATGTCTAATTGGCAATTATGTTTATTGTAATGGTAATTTCTTATCTATTTACATGATAATTTCCGATAAAACGGTTTTGATGGTATAATAGAAGCAGGTACTGTATATATAGTTGGTGTTACAAGAAATATTAATACTTAGACAATAGATATTGTTTAAGAGGTGTAGTAATACATCATAACGTCAACAGCACCGTCTATAGGTTAGACCTGAGCCAGGCCAGGCAGTACAGCCAAGTGCCTCATCACCGTCTGGGACACACACCTGCCGCCACCACAGTGTTCATACATCCCACCTGGGAATACCTTCCTCCTCCTCCTCCTCTATTTCCTCCTCCTCATCCTCCTCTTCTTCTTCGTCTTCCTTTTCCTCCTCCTCCTCTTCTTCGTCTTCCTTTTCCTCCCCATCCTCTTCTTTCTTTTCCTCCTCATCCTTCTCATTCCTTTTCTCTCTCCTCTTTCTCTTTCCTCACACTTCAGTACAGTGTAACTCTCAACCAACACACCTCACTCTCTTAGTCAAGGGCTACCAGAACCCCCTCCCCGGTCAATTTAACAGTTGCTATGATTTTTGGTTAGTTGGTGCCTATATCTTCCAAAAACCATCTGATATACACGCGATATCTGGTTGCTGGTACCCAATAATGGGAAGCAAAGATGGCCGCCATGCGTCGTCAGTGAAATTTAAGAAAACTGTAACTTTTGATCCAGTTGGACTACAAACATCTTTAAGGGATCAATTTCCATTAATAGGGGATGAAATTCACTGGTGACATTACTTTTGTATTTTGTTGGCATCTTCAGGCCCAAACACCCAAATTAGTAATAACGAAGGCTAAAAATGAAACATTTTTAAAACTCAAGTATCCATGTTGTTTCTTCCTTCCGTCACAGTCATTTCACCTTGTTGGAATTAAAAACGCAATTAGACATTAAATTTAGTAAAATTCATGCATTGTTTGCTAAATTAATCATGATTCATTGCAAATACCTGAGTACAGAAATGAATGATAGCCACTTTCCACCTAAAAGGCTAACATAAGACTCACTAAGGGTTAATTAAACGCTAGAAGTCCAGGTATTGTTGCTAAAATGTCCATATATGCGGCATATTCAAAGCAGAGTTCAGTAACAAGAAAAACTCCATCGAAAAAGTAAGGTAACCAGGAATGTTAAAAGTCCATCTCATAATATGCGTTATCAAAATTGCATGTTGTAGGCTTTCATTGCAGCAGCTAAATCAAAGGTGATGATTGTCCAACTTTGCTGCAAAGCTTTTGTCATGACACATACAGCATGTGGGGGCATTCATAGTTATACTGTTGTCTCTCCAGTGATTCGCTTTATTTATTGGTGGCAAATAAGTCCACAGTTATGAAACCTCCGCCTCTGACTCAGTAGGACACCCAACCTTTCCATCCAGGCACTATTTGCTTAAGGATGCCGACATTCAGCGGCCACAATATCCACAGTGTATCAGACTGATGAGCTTACAATCATCGCCATTTATATCAAGGGCACATTTATTTTAGTGGTTCAGGCTTCTTCTTTATATATGTAACATGGATATGGCCTTTCTATTCACGTGGAGCTGATCTTGCTTTTTGGTCTTAGGGATACTGACTGTCTCCATGCCTTCTGTGAGAAACCTCCTCCTGCAATAATAACCTTGTGTGCTATGTGTAATCATCTCGTCCAGATGTGTCTCTTCAGGGAGGTCAGAATTGCCAAAACAAATGGACCACTAAATTATTTAGATGTTACTATGTGTGGGGAAGAAGACCACTATGCTCTTCCTTAGATATACAGCAGTCATCATTTCAACGCATATAGGAACACAGTGCCCATTCAGTTGAGAGAACGATAGCTTCTGTGACTATATCAGGTGCCACAGAGACCACCAAGCATACTAACAGAAGTCATCAATATCCCATTAGTATTAATTTTTATTATGTCTATGCAGTGGGGTTACCCACTGCTTCTGGTCTGATAGAATTGTTTACTCTCCAGACAGAAGGACTGCATAAAATGTTGGGGCGGAGGTTGGTCCGCGTAAGGTGTGATGACCAGGAGGTGGTGGCAGCTCAAACTGACATAATTACTTCTCTCTTCAAAATGAGCACTGCTTCTTCGAGGATCCTTGGTTGCAGGGGCAGCTTCCAGAATACAGCCTCTGCTGCCGTGCACCTTGTGTGTGCAATGTTGGACGAATACTTGTACACCAATT